CACGGATACGCACTTTGGAGGTGCCACCAGGACCCGTACCCAGCGAGGAGATATTTACGCCCGCTACCTTACCCTGCAGCGCATTCATTACATTGGGAGAACGATTAACAGTAAGCTCATCTGGCTTTACATTGGTGGTAGAATAACCAAGTCCCCGGGCCTGCTTTTTAATACCCAGCGCAGTTACTACTACTTCATCCAGGTTGCGCAGGTCTTTTACCAGCGATACCTCAATAACGCTGCGGCCTGCCAACGGAATTTCCTGGGCCACAAAGCCTACAGAACTGAAGACGAGGGCGGATTTTCCGCCGGTATTTACAATGAATTTACCGTCTGCATCAGTAGTAGTACCCTTTGTGCTGCCCTTGGGCGTAACGCTTACACCGGAAAGCTTATCGCCTTCCTTGTTGGTAACCGTACCGGTAACTGTCTGTGCATTGATAGTGAAAGAAAAAACTGCAAACATCATGCATAAAAGCAGACGTATACAAGAAGCTGGCTTACGGGGAAGCCGAAGTTCCTTTGTCATAATGGCAAGTCATTTTGGTTAAGAATAGATCGCGTAATCGTCAGACCGGTAGTTTTTCCTTGTAAGGTCTGCTACCACGTTACAAAATAGTAGTAATAAAACGGTAATAACTTCCAATTTTTCACAGCGGTGGTTTTTGCACTTTTCGGAAAAGTTTATAGTTCTCAGTTTATAGTTCCTGGTTCGTTTGCGCGGCGCCCGGAAGAAAAAGCTCCTGTTCCATTTGCAGGCTTACAGGTATTCAATTGAGGAAAGGAACTGATTTCTGCCAACATTCACCTATTTTAGTTTTTTGTTCTCCGTTTGCCGCAAAAACTAAAAACTAAGAACTAAGAACTTGGAACCAAGAACTGAGAACTTTCCCGAACTTGTCTTTTATGAGCCAGTTTTTTCTGCAACAGCCAATATCGGCGGAACTGCATACTTTTCCGCACATCATTGAACTGGCATGCCAGAAAATTCAGCATATACAGTTCAATTCCTTTGCCCGCCGGTCATCGCCGCACCTGCAGTTTTTTTATATCAATGAAGGCAAGTTTGAATGGATCATCAATGGCAATCATTTCACGCTTTACCCCGGAGACGCCGCCATTGTACTGCCACAGCAGGAGATAGGCAGCGAGAAGGGCTTCCTGGATCTGGGCATTGTCTCGCGCATCAGCATCGCACCCGAACAGTTTGCCGCCAATGGTCAACTGCGCCTGGGCAGCTGGAGCGGCATCCCTGAAAACGAAAACCGTTCCATCGGCAAATTGCTTTCGCTGAATCATATCTCCGTGTTGCCGAAACTGCCCGCAGCCGGACATATTTTTCAAACCCTGCAGAAAGAAATGGCCGAACAGGAAATTGGGTATACGGTACGGGTAAACCAGCTGATTGATGAACTGCTGATTACCGTGGTGCGGCACCTGACCCGCCAAAATAACCTGCAGCGCGACTTTCCCCAGACTTTCATGAAGCTGGAGCAGAACCTGCGCAGCCACCTGGACCACCAGTGGCTGGTAGAAGAGATGGCGGTACTGGTAGGCCTGGGAACGACCGCCTTTACTGAGAAAGTGAAAAACTATACCGGGTTTTCACCCCTGCACTACCTTATCAATATACGTATTGCAGAAGCCATTAAATTATTGAAGAATACCAGTCAGCCCGTAACGGATATTGCGCTGGCAACCGGTTTTTATTCATCGCAGCATTTCTCTACCACGTTTAAAAAACTAACGGGTTATACGCCCAGCCAGTTCAGGAAAAACAATACAAAGAACAGTTAACAGCACTATAAAATTGATCATTATGGATTGCATCATTACCATCGACATAGGCACCAGCGCCGTTAGAATTTTCGCTTTTGAAATGAACGGCACCGCCATTGGCTTCATGAAAGGTTCTTATCCTACTTTTCATACAGAACCCATCTACAGTGAGCAGGACCCCGAACAGGTATTCATAACGGTATTGTATGTGCTGAAAAATTTCCTGACGGAAAAAATCAATACCCGCAAATACCGCGTGGCCGCCATCTGTTTCAGCGCCGCTATGCACAGCGTACTGCCGGTTGACAAAAACGGGGTGCCGCTGGGCAATGCCATTACCTGGGCAGACAACCGCGGTAAAAAAGAAGCAGACGACCTGAAGAAACTGCCTATGGCCAAAACCATTTATGATGCCACGGGTACGCCCATTCACCCCATGTCGCCCCTGATAAAAATTGCGTGGATAAAAAGGCACGACAAAGAAAGGTTCAGCAAAACAGATAAGTTCATCGCTATTAAGAACTATATCATCCAGCAGTTAACCGGTGAATGCGTGATTGATTACAGCCTGGCATCTGCCACCGGCCTTTTCAATATACATAAACTGCATTGGGATGCGAACGCGCTGGCGTATGCTGGTATTAACGCAGACCGGCTGCCCACACCTGTGCCGGTATTTTATTCATCATTGCAGTTGCGGCGCGAGTACCAGGTCTCACTGGGACTGCCCAAAAAAACAAAGATCATTATTGGCGCCAGCGATGGCTGCATGGCCACCCTGGGTGCCGGCGTTTGGGGCGAAGGCAAGGCCACCATTACCATTGAGCAAAGCGGCGCGGTAAGGGTGGCGGGCAACAAAGTTATCCGCGACAGCAAACAACGGTTTTTCAATTACCTGCTTACAGAAGGGTATTATGTATCCGGCGGCCCCACCAACAATGGCGGCGTTATTTTTGAATGGTTCGCCAAACAGTTTGGCATTTTTAACCAGGCCTATGGTATAGACGACAGCATACACTCACTTATAAAAGAAGCCATGCAGGTGCCGGCCGGCTCAGACGGTTTGTTGTTTCTGCCCTACCTGCTGGGCGAGCGGGCGCCTTTGTGGAATGCCAACGCCAGGGGCGCTTATTTTGGACTGAACATTAAACACGAGCAGAAGCATTTTATCCGCGCAACGCTGGAAGGTATATTGTATGAGATCTACAGCATTGGTAAAATACTGGAAGAACACCGCGCCTTCAGTTCGCTTTCTATCAATGGCAGTTTTGCTTCTTACCCTTTGTGGGCGCAGATCATTGCAGACATGTTTGGCAAACCGGTAAGTGTGAACAATAATTACGACAGCATTGGCACCGGTGCACTGCTGCTGAGCCAGACAGAGATGGGCATGTACCGCAACCTCGAAGATGCAGCGAAAACTGTATCACCCCAAACCAATTATCACCCCA